CCCCCCCCCCCCCCGCCACCCCATTTTGATTTTTCTCCTCCTGACCTCAGGTGGCAGTGTGGTGAGGGGAGTGTTTCAGAATCAGGCAGCTGCGGGTTCAAGTCCTTTTCTGGTACTTCCTCACCGTGTGACCCAGGCGGTCACCTCATGCCCCCCCCCTGCCCCCGCCAGCCTTGCTTTTCTCATCCATGCAGTGGGGGTGGGGGCGCTACCCTGCAGGCTGTGGGGATAAGGACGGAGAGAAAAGGGGGCGTGGCCCAGCACGGCAACAGGCGGGGACAGAGCGAGGTTGTGGGTGGGGATGGTTTCGCCAGGTCTCACCTTCCCCCGCACCCGGGTCCTGGAAGGTGTCTTGGGGAGGGGACAGGTTAGACAGCAGATTCTTCAACTTCCAGAACTAAAGAGCAAGAGTGAGACCCCTCTCCCCTGCCCCAGCTCCCCAAGAGACAAGCGTGTCCAGCAAGGGAGGGGACGAGACGTGGGTTTCCCTTCTCCGTCCCACCGTGGCCACCACGGTTGGGGGAAGCCTTCCTTAACTTGTGAGGAGGGGTGGTTTTCTCAGCTGCCACGTGGAGCTCCCAGGGCTCACCCAACCTCCCTGGCTTTAGGTCCCAGAGGGCTGCAGACAGTGGTTTCTACTTTACGATGCTATGAAACAGAGCGGTTGGGCGCAGTTTGAGGGGCGGGCTCTCAGGGCTGGCCCCGGGAGCTGCAGCTGGTGGTCAGGAAGAGGGTGGACCCGGGCCTCCCCACTCTGTCCGGTGCTTCAGCCCCTTCCAGGTACCCCTTGCTCTCTGCCAGGGACCACCTGTAGCCACCCAGGCACAGCCAGGGAGCAGTGCTGCATAGCCTGGGGGGGCAACTGTGGGGGCTCCTGAAGCCCAGGGTGACACTTGGCTTTGAGAGGACAGGGATCCCCCCGTGAGGGGCAGTGGAGGGGCGGAGGCTGGGCTGACTGGAGGGTGCAGGTGCCAGCTCACTGCTCTGCCTCTGGCCGGAACAGTGTATGCCATGCACACACACACACACACACACACACACACACACACA